AATGACAAAAACCCAATAAACATTAGTTTTATAAATGATAAATAAATTGAGAGAACACTTTAAAAAATTGAGAGAACAATTTAAAAAGAACAAAATACTTAGGGATTTACCAAGAGTAAAGACTTACATACTGAAAACCACAAAACAGAGCTGAAAGAAATTAAAGATGATATGTAAATAGGAACTCAGCTCAGGTTGATTTATTGAATGAAAGATGTGATAATGTAAAGATGACCATGTTATCTAAAGAAGTCTGCAGATTCATTGTAATTCCTATCAAAATCCCAATGTGGGGTTTTTTGTTTTTTGGGGTTTTTTTTTTTGTTTTTTTTAAATAGAAAAGGCTTTCATAAAATCCATGTGGAATTTCAGAGGACTCTGAATAGCTTGGGCAACTTAGTGACTTAGCAAGTCCCCGTCCCAAAATAAATAAAAAAGGACTGATGATGTAGCTCAGTGGATAGGTCCTGTGTTCAATCCTTAGTATCTAAAAAAGAAAATTCCTTATTATTTAATCCCTTGTATACTGTCCTTTTCATAGTTGTAGACTTCTACAATTTCCAATTCTTTGATCCTTATGTTGAGAGTATAAAAAATCCCAAGTGTCCTGCCTTTACATGATTTCTCCTACTTTTAGTTAAATATTATGGACAATGTTAGCCACAAGTCATTTGCTTTGTGATACATTGTTGCCTTGGTTAACTCTTAACAGAACTCTTCTTAAATAATTGAATGTGGCTATAGAAAAAAATGTATACACTCTGAGCTCATTTAAAATTCATGAATACTAATCTCAAGTGTGCCCTTACCCTTGCCTTGCAGTCATTATATTTTCCCTATTTTATGTCCCATTCTCCTAAATAGCTCTTTTATACTTCTGCCACTTTCATTTAACACATCTTTAAACACCCTTAGTAATGAGCAAGGTAGCTCATTACCTTGCTTACTACCTTACTGGAAAAATGGAAGTACTCAAATGGGGACTTTCGTAATGTCCCATTATCTCAGCTGTTGGTTTACTTGCATCTTGTACAGATTTTCTTCTGTGATTGTGGCTCTTGTGGGTAACACATAGTTGAGCCTTACATTTTTTGACCCCGTCTACCAGCCTGTATCTTTTAAATGGAACATTAAGACCATTACATTAAATGTACTGAAAATCATATATTAATTTTGGTCATTTTGTTGTTTTCCTTGTGTTGATTCATTTCTTTTTCTGATTTGTTTAACTGCTGTCTTTCCTTTGGCCTTCTTTCCCTTAAATGTTTTCTTTAATACTGACTTGGTGGTCATGAATTTCTCTAGTTTATACCTATCATGGAAGATCTTGTTTCATGTATGAAGGAAAGTCTTGCAGGAGATAGTGATCTTGAGCTTGAGAACTTAATGAGCCTTCCTGGCCTTTCAGATTTCTTATTTTCATGGATTTGACCATATATGTGGCTTGGTATTTAAGTCTACTCAATATTACTTCTTTGCTCTGAATGTTTGACATCTTGATTATGATGTGTTGTGGAGAGGATTATTTTCTGTTTGTGTCTATTTTTGCTTCTTTTTTTTAAATTTTTGTACCAAGGATCGAACTCAGGACCTTGTACTTGTGAGGCAGGTGTGGAACGACTAAGCTAAATCCCTGGCCTCTATTTTGACTTCTAAATGCATTCATTACCTGGGTATCCTTGTCATTCCCTAGATTTGGAAAGTTGTCTAAAAGAATTTCACTGAATAGGTTTTTTATTCCCTTAGCCTGTACTTCCATACCCTCCTCCAGGCTTGTTCTTAAATTTGTTCTTTCAGAGTTCTCTAGGAACTCTTTATCTTTTTCATTGTTTCTTCTTCTTTTTTTCATATTACTGAATATTCTTTTTACCCACCTTATTTTCATGTCTTGATATTCTTTCATCTGATTCATTTTGACTGCTTCCAAGATTTCCATTTGAGTGTTTTTGTTGTTGTTGTATACTTCATATGGAATCTCATTGAGTTTTGTATTTGTTGGATCAGGTTTTGAAGAGTTACGAATTTTTGAAGACATCTTACAGCATTCTTTTCCCTGATTGATGTGTTTTTGTGTCACAATTTGTAGAATGGAAATCTCTTTAGTAAGAGGCTTTCTTCCAATGACATGCCCTTGACTGGGAGTGTAACTCAGATGGAACAGATTCTCAGCTTATTCACAGTGCGGCACTAGGGTAAGCCCTACTGTAGCATTGCCAGGAGAGAACACCTGCCAGTGATAGTAACATCTTAAAAAAATAGACATATATTAACATGTAATTTATTATTTATTTTATTTTTATTTTTAATTTTAATTTTAATTTTTTGGCTACTGGAGGTCAAACTCTGGCCCCTGCGCTTGCAAAGTAGGCATTGGAACCACTAAATCTCCAGCCCTCGACATGTAATTTTAAACACATTAAAAGTTCTCTTTTGGTTCACTAACAGAGGAAGATAAAGGGCCAATAAAAATGTAGAATTCCTAGGAAAAAAGGGACAAAGAAGAAAATAAAATAGAACTGAGAAAAAAGTAAAGGAGGAAAGAAAAGGAAGTTAAAAAAATAGGATGAAAATAGTAGCTTTTAATGATAACATTTATATATCAGGAAATAAGGATGTAAGCAGGGATATTTGAGAGGTTATGTGAGGGGAAAGAAAGAAAAGAAGGAGAGAGAAAGAAAGAACACATAAATGGAAAACAAGAGAAAAATAGAGATACTGAATCTATATAACAAGCTAGCAGAGAAGCAGACAACCCCTAAACAATTCTTGAATGGGGAGAATGTAACAAAATGAGATAAAACACTTTATGTGGAAAAGCAATAATTTTACATATACCCTTATGACTCCTCCCACACACAAACAAATAGAAAGAAAAAGTAGTTTCAATGATAATATTTATACACAAGGAAAGAAGACAGAAGGGTGATTTGAGAGGATGTCAGGGAAAGAAGGAATACAAGTAGAAAGATAGGATATAGGAAGACTGCATCCAATTCATGAATTAATGGCAATCTGCATTTAGGGCTTTGCCACAACTATTGGTGTGGGAGAACATAATGTAACATCATAAGACACCATAGAAGCAAAAGCAATAACTAGCACTTGTAAGCACACACACACACACACACACACACACACACACACACTCTCCCAAACTATACATAATGAAACACCAAAAACACTGCATTGAAACCAAAACCAGGTTCATTCTTCCTTATGGTAGTTCTTATGTTGGAGTCAATTCTTGGATACTCCCAAGGCATGATATCAGTTAATTTTTTTTTTAATCCAGAGTTCTCCATGTCTATCCAACTAGGAGAGACTTTAGAGCAAGCAGGAGGCTGACCCACAACTCTGTGGTTTTGGAAAAGTACTCAGATAATCCACCAGTGGCTGAACAATTCACACCTACTAATGTAACTTTTTCCTGTTCCTGGGAATGTGAGGCCAGAAATTTCTGGCAGTCTGTTACATCTATTGCTTGTGTAGTCCTTGGGCAGGCCCAGAGCATGGGCCTTTGCTTCATAGATTTCCCGACGGTGCTTTGGGTGGTGTGGTGGCCAGTGTCTAGGCTTCACTCTATTTATTCTGTCTCTGAGTAAAGCAGAGGTGGGTGGGTGTACAGGGTCTATGGGGTCCGTGTTTGTCTTAGGGGGCTGCCGGTGCTCAGCTTTCCTCTGGTCCTGGCAGGGTAGAGCCTAGACTCAGCTATTCTGCCAATGCAAAATCCCATGCAGCTCAACTAGGTGTCTGCTGCTATCCAAACTGCCACTTTTTTTGCAGATGGCCACTTCTTCCCTACAGCACAGTGACTGTTATATCCCAGAGTTACAAAAAATGTAACTTTGAGCCTAGGCAGAGAGAATTACTAAAGATGGCTTTACATCCCATTTCTGTCCAGTCCATCTCGTCTATTTTCAATTTCAGCTCATTCTCTTTATGATCCCCTTCCAGATTTATGGGTTAAAATGTCATCTACACCCCAGTGACTTGGAAATACGTGTTTTTGTGTAGTTCTACTTTCTGAATGCTTGCCTTTTAGATCCAAAAACATATTTAATATCTTCATTTGGATGTTTCTTAGTGAAAACCAAGCTCTTAATACTCTCTGCTTCTGCCCAAACCCTCTGTTCTTGATGTGTTCTTCATCTTTATGGTATCTGCATCATTCCAGTTGGTTGAGCCAAAGCACTTTTAACAGTGCACATCTTGCTATACCTGTCTGCCACTGCTCTTCACCTAGGCACTGTTATCGTCTTTCTTTTGAATTATTAGCAAGTCTTTCTCCTTGCTTTTGAGTCTGCCTTCACTCTATTTTTATATAGCATTTCTGTGGTTCTGTTATATTTTAGGGCACAAAATGTTACTCTTCTCTTTAAACTTTATAATAACTTTTGGTTTTCTTTAGAGTGAAAGCCATACACTTTCCAGGATTTGTTCTCCATTGCTGTTGAGCTTGTGCAGTCTTTTACCCTTCTTCGTTCTATTTATTTAGTCTTTGAGTTAGTAGAATATAAGTGCCACCAATGTTGGGCTTTTTCTTTTTATTATAAGCGCTGAATATGTAGAATATGGTGCCTGGCACATAGTAGATACTTCTATTTGTCAGATTCTCACAATTGCAACCAACTACTAAAGCAAACAAAAAACAAAAACTTAAAGGAGGAGAGGTTTATTTTAGCTTGCTTTCAGAGATTTCAGTCCATGGTTGGCTGGCTCCAAGGTGGAATATCGTGGCAGAAGGGCATGGTAAAGGTAAGCTGCTCAACTCATGGGATCCAGGATGTAGAGAGTAGATTAAGAGGACAGGTCAAGATGTAGTCCCAATGGTCACACCCCAAGGACCCACTGAGATGTACACAGAAGTATGTATCTAATCTAGGCACTTCTCAGACCAGCCAAGTTGGCAATCAAGATTAATGGCCATAGTACTCAGGATTCAGTTTTCCCCTTAATGAATAATTACTGCCTCCTGTTTTGTTAATGAATTTTATTTTCAGATCCGTGATTCTAATTGCAATTATGAGGCCTTTATGAACATTATTAAATTGAGTGACAATGTTGGAGAGCTAGAAGCAGTTAGAGATAAAGCAGCAGAAGAATTACAGTATCTTAGATCTTTAGATACAGCTGGTGATGGTAAGTGATTTATTTATTTAATTAAAGACTTTTCTTTAAGGATTATTATATATTTAAATAAAATTTCAATTTACCTTAAATACCATTTATGCTTAGTTGTTTTTACCTTAACTGAATCTTCCTTAGTATGTTAACATATGCTTAGGTTAAAAGTAGTATTTTCTGAATGTTAAATTATGATTAGTGCAACTATATCTAATGCATAGATAATAGGCATTGTTTGGTTTTAATTAAATCTTACTGTACAATTTCAGATTTTTAATTGGATAAAAATTGTGTATTAATTGGTTATCTTGTTAAATTACAGTAAGTACATGTTTAAAGCATTTCACTGGTGCCATTACCATTAATTATTCTAGCTCATAATCAACTTGTTATTTTTAGATATCAACACCATAAAAAATCAAATAAATAGCTTACTGTTTGTAAAGAAAGTGTGTGACTCAAGAATACAGCGGTTACAGTCAGGCAAAGTAAGTATAAAGTACTTTTGAATTAATGTTTAATTATATATACTTGGTAGGATTAAAACGCATAGTAAATGACAGGACTTGGCACTTTAGGACTTTCAGACAAGTTTTCTTTTATGTGGTGTAGTATGAGTATTTTAAAAATAAGTCAAAGAGATGAGTTGAAACACTGCTGGAGCACAACTAGGTCAGCAGATCTGTGTCAAGATGTGGATGTGGATCTTCATTCTGTAGGTTGGGTTTTGTTACAGTTGTAACCAAGTGAGCAGTTGAAACCAAGTGAAATTTAATAGACAGAGGGTAAAACTGATTACTATATTCGGAAATGCTTGGTAATCCAGTACAAAAGTCAGGTCAGATTGCCAAAATATAGGATGATTATATATGCAACCAACAAAAGTATCATTTGTCAAATGTACCCATGTAGAAGTGGGTAGGATGGTCTGCACAGCTTATGCACATGAACTACCAAAATAGAGTATGAAATTTGGCCTAATAAATTATGATGCTCCATGTTTTACTGGCATGCAGGCTTCTCAATAGGTCAGCATGAAAGTGTATGTGAAGGTCAAGTGGAGGGGACTGCAGAAGAATACAGTGTGGCAGGTGTTCATGGTCAACCTGGTGCTATGTGGATCCAGCCCTTGCCAGAATTGGTACTGGCAATAACATTTGGTGGGCCCTGAAGTGAGCTGGGGATAGATCTTTAGATTTTAGATCTGCCCCTCACCAGTCCTCATTCTGAATCTGTAAGCAGAGAGTTTGTGTATTTATTTTTTAAGTGGCACATGTGAATCTTTTAACTTTTTTTCTCAGTTTTTATTTTCAATGAGTATTGTTTGCAGTACCTAATGATTACACTCTTCATGGGGAGTTGATACATGCACCCAACACATCTTAATTCTTTTTTCATGCACTTCTTCGCTCTCCCATCTCTTGGACTCCTTCCATTTTGCAAAATGTCTGTCTCCCTATTTCCTATTAATCCAACTTTCATTTTACTTATATTTTGGGTTTCTCATACAAGAGAAAGCATGTGATACTTAAAATTATCTGATTTATTTCACTTAACGTTATAGTCTGATGGTGAATCCATTTTCCTACAAATGACTTATCTTTCTTTATGAAAATTAACACTCCATTGTGTAAAAATACCACACCTCTTTCTTTATCCATTTATCTATTGATGGACCTAGTGGCCTCTCGTAAAATTTAAGTATCATAAATTGTGCTGCTGTAGTACACTAGTAGGCAAATGTCATGTAATAAGATGTCTTTAACTCTTTTGAGAAGATATCTAGATACCTAGAAGGTGAATAGGTGAGTTGAATAGAATTTCTGTTTTTAGTTTTTTGAGGAATCTCTATATTGATTTCCATAATGATTGCACTAATTTATATTCTCACCAACAGTGTTGAAGGGTTCCTTTTTTCCCACAGCCTTACCAATATTTCTTATTTTTGATTTCTTGATGATAGCCATTGTTTCTGGAGTAAGATGGAATCTCATTGTTTTAATTTGTATTTCTCTAATGTCCAGAGAGATTGAGCATTTTTTTGGAAGTGCAATATTTTTTTGTCCATTTAAGTGTCTGTTTATTTCAGCAGCCGAGTTTTCAGTTGGGTCTTTTCTTCTGGGGGGTTCTAAGTTTATTTTGAGTTCTTTATATTTTCTAGATATTAGTCCTCTGTCTGAGGAATAGTTGACAAGAATTTTTTTCCATTGTGTAGCTTATCTCTTCAATCAGTTGGTTGTTTCCTTTGCTGTGCAGAAGCTTTTTAATTTGATATGATCTCATTTGTTGATTTCTTGTGCAAATGGGGTTCTACTAAGAAAATCCTTCCTTATGCCTATTTCTTCAAGAGTTTTACCTGTTTTTTTACATCAGTTAAGTATTTCTCTTTTAACATTTAAATCTTTATCCATTTTGAGTGGATAGTCAGTTTTCCCTGCACTATTTATTAAAGAGGCTATCGTCCCTCCAGCATATGTTTTTGTCCCTTTGTCAGTGATCAGACAGCTGACCATTCTGGGGTTGTGAAAGCAGGGAGTATAATGCCAAAATATAGTCTAAGCACATTTTGGGCCAGAACATTCCAGATTATATTCATTGCCTAATGGAAAAAGGTGAAAATGCTTACAAAAGACAGTTGTCTCAGTACATAAAGAACAGTGTAATTCAGATGTTATGGAGAAGATAAATTAGAAAATTCAGACTATGCAAGAAAATCTAGTCTATCAGAAACTCGAGAGGAGTTATAAAGGACCAGTGGTACCATCCAAAAATAATTCTTTCTCCAGAAGAAAGATGGAGGAACTCAGGAAGGCAAGCTTGAGCTGAACATGACAGGAGGATTACAAGTTCATGACCAGGCCGAGCAACTTATAAAATAAAAATTGAAAAGAAAGGAAAGAAGGTGAGGAGTAAAAAGGAAGAAGGGACAGAGGAAAAAGAGAAAGGGCAGGAGATGTAGTTTAATGGTTAAGAATTTGTCTAGCATTTGTGAGGTCTTGGATTCAATTCCCAGTGATGAAAAAAAAAAAAGAAGAAGAAAAAAATGTGTGTGGTAGGGTGGAGGCAAGCTTCATCACAGCTCTGAAGCAGACCGCTTAGAGCTAACCCAGTCTCTATGAATGTTTTTCAGAAAAGACAAACTCATAGACCATACTAGAAAAAATAAAAGTTTGAAGAATGGTAACATAATTCAAGGTTTGATTTTCCTTGATTTATTAATTCTGTTATTCATTCATTTACTTATTGAGTATTCAATTTCAGTACAGTATTAGTAGACATAATAAAACAAGTCTTTCTGGAGCTACCTTTTAGCTCACACTTAGAAAATAAACAATAAACAAGCTTCTGAGTGTGATGGCATATGCCTGTAATCCTAGCAGTCTGGGAGGCTGAGACAGAAGGATCACAAGTTCAAGTCTACCCTGGGCAACTTAGTGAGACCTTGTTTCAAAATAAACCAAATAAAAAGGGGTGGGGATATAACTTAGTGAACACACCTCTGTTCAGTTCCCAGTACCACTAATTAAATAAGTAAAAAGCAAGTGAAGTCACGTTTTTGTCAGGTTATGATATCTGCTATGAAAAAATAAATGAGGATACAGAAAATATTTAAGATTGTTTTAGATAGGTGCTGAGCAATTAGGTGATATTTTTGCATAGAGAAATCTGTGTAGCATGAGAGAGTACTCTGTTTCTGAAGAATCTTCTTAATAGAAGTAAATCAAGTATAATGGCCCTGAGATAGTAACACCCTTGAGGAGTTAGAGGATGTCACTGTGGTTTGGTGAATGAATGAGGGATTATGCTAGGTGTAAAGTTATAGAAGAACCTGGAAGTTAGATCATACATGGTTTTACTGGCCTTATTAAGCTTTTTATTTATATTTATTGATTTATGGAAATCAGTTGGAGATCTGACATAGCAGGTAACATAATCTGATTTAGAGTTAAAGTGATTGACTCTTTGTGAAGAATATGGCATGGTGAGGGGCAGGATGAAAATAGAGACTGTTTAGCAGACTGTTGTTCTGGAATAGTTAATAGACACCTGAGGAGGTTGTGAGAAGTAATTGGTGACTAGATCTAGTGCTCATAAGATTTCTGATGGAAGGACTCAAGGATGATTTCAAGTTTTTTAGCCTGAGCAGCTACATGGATAATGATGTTATTTACTGAAATGTAAAACTGAAGCGGGTAGGGGCTCAGAAGAAGGAATCAAATTCTGCATGTTTCAATTTGAGATACCTGTTAAACAGTCAAGTAAATGTTCAAATTGGTAATTTTAGAGTTCAGAAGTTTATTGATGGAGATAAACTTTGTGAATCCTCAAAATTATCAAATGTTTATGTTAGAGACTGGATGAAGTCATTTAGAGGAGTAAGTATAAGCAGTCATATACCAATGACAGTCCTCAGTCACTTAAGTGAATACAGTTAAAGACAAAGTGAAGGAACAAACTGAGTAATCATTGATAAGATTTCAGGAAATCCTCGGAGTGTGATGCCCAAGAATCAAGTTTAGAAAATGAGTAAAGAAGGGAGAGGTCAGGTAAGTAAAAGAACAGCATTGAGTAAGATGAAGAGTGAGAATTAACTATGGGTTTGCCAACCAGTGTTTTATTGCTGATCTGATGAGAGCAGTTTTGTGCAGTAGTGAAGAAACCTGATTGGAGTCTATTGAGGATACAGTTGTAAAAGGTGAACTAGAAACAGTGGTGATAGATTGCCCTGTGGAGGAATTTTACTGTAAAGGAGAAAGAGTTGAGGGTTTAAAGCAGAAAATTAATACCTTTACTTCTTACTGTAGTCGCCATTTTGCCTCTGGATTTCAAGTTTTAAAAAAAAATTTTTGACCTGTTGGTCTTATCGTTATGCAGTGTATTTAATTCCTTAAGGAAAGGAATAAATATTTTTTTTTAATCTTGAGTTTGGTTTGCTAGCTGAATTAGCTAGCTGAACTTAATGAAACAGTACTAATAAAGAGGTAAAGGTTTAGATTCAAAATAGGCCCACATTGTGATATACATGTGTGTTTTAGTAAACTACAACCACTTTGTACCTGTGAAAATTCTTCTTAGGAAAGAAGAATGATATGGTTTCATTTGTACCTTTTTTTCTTTAACCATTGTACCTTATTTAAATCTTAGTGATCTTTTGGGGTCATTATTTAAAACTCTGTTTGCCCAAATACTTTTTGATACTGAATTCTTTTAAAATTTGGAATTGTTTTTAGAAGCTTGTCAATTCTGCTTTGACTGTCTAAGTTTATTTTCATCATACTGAATGATTAAATAATATACTAACCTGTTTTCACGTCCATCTCTAGGAAATCAATACTGTGAAACTGGCAGCAAACTTTGGGAAACTTTGCACAGTCCCATTGGACAGCATTCTTGTAGACAATGTTGCACTACAATTTTTTATGGGTAGGTAAATTCATTTTGTTTAAATAATATAGCCTTTGAGAGGTTTGAAGTTGTTTTTATTATAGTAAAATACATAGAAAAGTTAATATCTGAATTATTTTTAAATGTATTTAAGTTGATACTATAAACACAGATGCGTGCAACCACCACCACCACCTATCTCTAGAATTTTGTCTTCTGAGATTGAGGATATTAAGTTGATTGGCTTACTTTACATCTTCAAGACTTCTTCAAGAATCATCCACATTGTGGTGTGTGTCAGAATTTTCTTCCTCTTTAAGGCTAATATTCCAGGGTGCAGGTATGTATGCATTACATACGTGTGGGCATGTGTTCGTATGTGCACCCATAGGTAGTCTCACCCCCCCAACATTTTGCTTATCTGTTCATCTGTTAGGGGATTCTTAGATTGTTTCTGTTTTAGCTAGCGTAAGTAATACCACCAAGCATATATATATACTTTCAATTCTTTTGGATGTATACCCAAAAATGAAATTGCTGGATCCTGTTCTAATTTTATCATTAATTTTTTTGACATGCCACAACATTTTTTTCTTATAGTGATTATCTCATTTACATTACTAGCACAGTTTACCTCCCAGGCCTTTCTGCAGATGTTGTAGTTTCTTCAGTAGGTTCCAGAGTTCCAAATTAGATACATCAGAGGACCAGGGATTTAGCTGAGTGGTTCTGCCACCTGCCTCGCAAGCAAAAGGACCCGAGCTCGATCCCCAGCACCAAAAAATGAATAGATAGATAGATAGATAGATAGATAGATAGGTAGATAGATACATCAGAGGTTCTGCCAGTGCAGTCATTGTGTAGATGGGGAGATAGATTTCTTACTCCAATATCTACCTTAAAATTTTTAATAATTTTAGTATTATTAAAATTTGGAGCCGGGTGTGGTGGTGCACACCTGTAAACCCAGCACTCGGGATGCTGAAGCAGGAGGATTGCTGTGAGTTTGTGACTAGCCTGGGCTACATAGTGAGTTCCAGGTCAGTCTCAGTTACATAGTGAGACCCTGTTTCAAAAAACCAAAAAAAAAAAAAAAAAAAAAAAAAGAGCCAGGGATTTAGTGTTTCCACTGCCTGTCTCGTAAGTGCAAGGACCAGAGTTTGACCCTGGTACCAAAAAAAAAAAATTGGTACGGTTATTATTTTGTATGCCAGATTAGATGCCACCCTTTATTCTCTGAATTCTTTTTCTTTAGAAGCCATGTAAATAGAGATTTATTTCTGTTGATGGAAGTAAATGCTTATCATAATTAATGAGCATTTGCTAAGCTTTAAAAATCAACTCTAGAAGATTCTAGTATGAGTTTAAATTTGCTGAGAAAGTGTTTCATTGAAAATGCATAGTGAGGGCCTAGGATTTAGCTCAGTGGTTCTGCTGCCAGGTTCGCAAGCACAAGGTCCCGAGTTCAATCCCCAGTACCAAAGAAAAAGGAAAATGCATAGTATATGTGAATAACATTTTTTCCCCCAGTAGTAGATTGAACCTATGAAACACTCTAGCGCTCAGCTGTATCTCCACTCCATTTTAAATTTTATCTTGAAGAATGTGTCTTGTAGACTTGCCCAGCCTACCTTTGAATTTGTGATTTTCCTGTCTCATTTCCTGAGTAATTGAAATTATAGGCATGTGCTACCATGCCCAATAACATGAGCTATTTATATCATTTTTATTCATGTGTGAGTAAAGAGAGAGGACTTTTTGTAGTTTTTGGAGGGAGGGTCTTATTGCACTGTGTAGCCCAAGCTGGCCTCAAACTTAATGGCAGTCCTCATGCCTCAGCTTCCTGAGTACTGAGATTGGGCATGTACCACCATACCTGACCTATTTTTCTACTATATGAATATTTAATTATGCATATGTTTTTATTAATATAATATAAACTGCTTCTGTTTGGTGATATTTTCAGCAGAAATTCCTGAATTTTCACTTGTGTGGCCAAAAATGTACATAGTTGTTGAATTGCTAATACTCATTTTTAATTTGTCTAGAAAAATTCATATTATGACTAATAATCTTTATTCAGAGGAGATGTTGCATATAGGTGAAGTTGTTTACTTCTAATGAAGTCTGTGTAGCAAAGCTATTCACCAGAAGTTTTACCATTAAAAATGAGGTTTAAAAATTTAGAATTATGTGCTTCCTTTTGTATTTTCTACACTAGTATTTAGCTTAATCAACTTGTAACTATTTTTTCATCTCAGGTATTTACTCTAAGCATTTTTAAAATGTAAGGCTTCCAGTATGTCATACTTAAATCTTAATTTTTCATGCAGCTACGTGGACCCATATTAATGTCAGTTGTGTTATGGGTTTTGTTTGGCAGATTATATGCAGCAAACTGGAGGTCAAGCACATCTTTTCTTCTGGATGACAGTGGAAGGGTACCGGGTTACAGCCCAGCAGCAATTAGAGGTTTTATTAAGTCGTCAGAGAGATGGAAAACATCAAACCAACCAAACCAAAGGTCTTTTAAGAGCAGCTGCTTTTGGAATTTATGAACAGTATTTATCTGAAAAGGTACAGATATATTTTGATAACTATTTTCTTCTTTGGCAGTATCGTTGATAATAATTTTTTAATTCTTGCAAATTTGCATTACTTATGCCAGGCATGTTTGCTTCAGAAACACCGATTCATTTAATCTCAAGAACAGTCTTGATATGCATTTTTATCCTTCTTATTTAAATGAAGATTCTGATATTTAGAAAACTGAATTACAGTAATATGCCCAAGGTAATGCAAATACTAAATGACAGTCAAGACTGAAAATCATATACATATTGAAAGGTACACTAGGTTGAAAGTAAAAGGATGGCAAAAGATAAAACATGCAAAGGTAAATAAAAGAGGTAGAGTGGCTATAATAATATCATAAAAGTAGAATTTAAGATAAAATTGTTATTAGAGCAGAGAATGTTCTATAATGAAAAAAGTGATTAAGTTGATTAAGGAAGATAAAGCAGTTATAAACATTATGCAATTAACAAATTTCTCAAATACATGAGGCCAAAATTTATAGAACTGAAGGGAGAAAGAGGCATTTCAACACTAATATTTGGAATGTTTAGTATCTGTTCTCAATAATTGATAAAGTAATTCGGTAGAAAGTCATTAAAGAAGATACATTAGTTGAAGAACAAGGCAGCTAGACTTAAACCATAAAGAATGTTTCCTTTCACAGCAAAATACACATTATTTTCAAGAATATATGGAACAGGGCCGGGGATTTAGCTGGATGGCACCACACCTGCCTTGTAAGCGCAGTCATGAGTTTGATCCCTGGTACCAAAAAAACAAAAGAATATATGGAACATTATGGAACATTCTCTTCTTAAAACATATGGGGAACCATTAAACAAGGCTTAATTGTATTTAAGCCAAACAAAATTATGTTCTTTAATCATAATGAAATCAATAGAAGGAAATTTGAGAAATCTATAAATATTTGAAAGTGAAACATTTCTAAATAAGAAATCATAAGAAAACTAGAGTTTTGTTTTTCAAGTATTTTAAATAATAAACTTCAGAAAATAAAGGAGAAATAATTTTCATCTCATTTTGTGAAGGAGTATTTTGATACTTAAGCAAAAGACATTACTTAGAAAACTAGTGACTAATTTCCTTCAGTAATACAGACAGAATAAGCCACAAAAATCTAGTTACTATGCTCAGTGCACAATTCTAATAGCTGTGCTACAATACCCTTTATTTTGTTCTGACTAGCACAAGTATTATGTTTGAGTTTATGTATTATGAATTTCATTTAAAAACTCATTATTGCATGTGCTAAAATTTTACCTTATGCAGTATACTCAAAATAATAGTTTTCAGAATAATTATGTAACAAACACATCTAAGTATGCCATCCATCTTAAGAAAACATCTATGTACTGCACCTATGAAGCACCTTTTATACTTTATTTGTTCTTCCCTACATTGTTTTATGTTCTTCTTTCCTGATGGAGCCAGTTTCCTAAATTTTGAGCTAATTATTCACTTGCTTCCCCATATATTTTTACCTTTAATGTATGTTCTTCCAAACAATATATTGCTTATGTTTGTTTTATAATGGAACAGTGTGTGTGTGTGTGTGTGTGTGTGTGTGTGTGTGTGTGTGTATTGGGTTTTCTGCCTGTAAACATTTTATTGAAATTCATACATGTTTATGCATACAATAAGTAGTTTACTTTCAGTGAACTGTTTTATTACTTGGATATTCAGGAGTTTATTTACCTATGATAAATGTCTCAGTTTTGGCTCTGGGTAAAGATGGTTAAGAAAAATACAAAGCCCATAGTAAGGTACACTAAATAAAGGTCGAAGGTAATGTGTTTTAGTGTCTAATGGTGATAACTTTGATCATCCACCTTGAAGAATGTTTTCTTGACGTGTCACTCGGATACTTTTATTATAGTTTCTCTTTTACTAGTAAGTTAATCTTGGAATGATACTCATGCTTACCAATACTATTATTGAGAAGAATAAATAACAAGGAATGACTGTGTACCACAGCCTGTTGTCATTGCTGTGTTTTTTGTTTGTTTGTTTGTTTTTTGCCTTGACCACTGGTATTAGCAATTATGGTCATAGTTAACTTTCTTTTTAATCACGAGTGTTAAAAAACAGCCATTTTTATGTGTTAGTGCTCTGTATTGTGGTATTAAACTAGTTATTTTAATTAAGTAGTTTATTGTATTAAACTAGATAATTTTTAAGATAGTCATGTTTACAAGTTGAAGGAAATTAAGAATGTCATCCTCTGTTTTTAGGCATCTCCAAGAGTTACTGTTGATGACTATTTAGTAGCAAAATTAGCAGATACTTTAAATCATGAAGATCCAACCCCTGAAATATTTGATGACATTCAGAGGAAGGTATTATATATTTTGTCTTTCTTGAAAAAATGTGTATTTCTATGTGCACATAATTAATATTTCAAAAAGTTACTGGAATGTTTGAAAAGAATGGTAACGAGAAATATTAGTTATAATACTTCTCAGTTATAAAAATGTAGACCAATTAGATCAATTTATTTTATTTCTTTAATTTTATTGCTTATATTGGGTTGCTTTCTTTGAATCTGACTAACTAAAGAGCCAGTCTTCTAGTCTTGGAATTTGATGAATTGATGATATATAAATAACATGTGTCACAAATTCATTTTAATGTGCGCCATTACGTGTATTTGCGTCTTAGAAAATACTTCATAGAATATTTTAGATAACCTATTGTCATGTGTCTTATTTTGCCATAGGATCCTTTTCCATTTAATTTAGCTGCTGGAGAAACTAAAAAAATTATTATTTTTGAGAGTCTCATGATTGTTTGTATCTTGTAACAGATACTTTACAGCAAGATCTCAGTGTAGCTTTTGGTGAAATCTTTTTTTGTTGTTTTTTGGGGGGGTATTTTTTTTTTCAGCTTTAATTGAGTTTATTGGTACATTTTAGGGATACAGTACAGTTACATTCATTGTTGGGATCTTGTACCTCTACATGACAAGTCTTGGTTCTCAGTTTTTCCCCTTGTCCCTGCCCTCCCTTCACCCCCTCCTCCCTTCCCCATCTACAAACACTTTATTTCCATCTTTTCATTATCTCACATTTTTTTCTTTTACCTTATTACCCTTCCCCTACCCATCCCACCTTCCCTACACCTTTAGCTCCTTTCTTCCCATTTCTAAATGTCAGTAATCTTATTAGGATCTTCTGTATTATTGCAGATTATTCACACCAGAGAAACTGTTTGGTATTTACACATGTGTGCCTTATTTATTTCACTTAGGAGTATATCTTCAATATGTATCCATTTTCCTATGAATGAATCTATTTTCTCATTCTTTATGGCTGAGTAGTATTCCATTTTATAGAAAAACCACATCTTCTTTATCCAGTTTCCAACAGATGGGCAAATGGGCTGTTTCCAAGTTTTAGCTATTACAAACTGTGCCACTAATTATTATTATTATTTTTTTGGTACTGGGAATTGAACTCAGGGCCGCATGCTTGCCAGGCAGGCACTGTTGCCACTAAGCTATATCCCTGGCTTAGTGAAGTTTTATTTAGTAAAATATCACCATGTATTTATATTAATCATTGATTATCTTGTTTTATTTCAACAAGGTATATGAGCTGATGCTACGAGATGAACGGTTCTATCCGTCCTTCCGACAGAATGCACTATACATACGCATGTTGGCTGAGCTGGACATGTTGAAAGACCCCAGTTTCAGAGGATCAGATGATGGGGATGGAGGTGAAGTGGTGCACATTTTACATTGTGTGTGTTTGTATCCCTATATGTTTTGTGGTTATCAGAAGAATGACCTTTTAAGCAATATAAAAATGGTTTTGAGGTCCAAATATAAGTTGTAATTACTAAAATCTATAATAAATGTGAAGTGTAGTTGCTATGTCAAAATGTCGAAAATTTAGTACCAGGTTAGACTACAATTGTTGAAGACTTCAATTCTTGAAGAATGTTTCCTTGAGGTGTGTCATTCAAATACTTTTATGGTAGTTTCTCTTTTACTAATAAGTTAACTTTGGGGTAATAGTCATGCTTACCAGTAGGGTTATTGAGAAGAATAAATGAGATAACAAGGAATGACCATGTACCGTGGATTGTAGAGCAATATAAAAAGTTGCAGTTTTTTTTTCTATCTTTGTTTCCTTTTCCAAATTCTACCTCAGTGATGGCAAACTTCTTACAGACCAAGTGCCCAAACTGCAACCTGAAACCCACTTATTTATTGAAGGTGTCAACATTGCAATTAAACCTGAAAACTGTGGTTTTAATTTAGAAAAGGCACTTCATCCAATGGTTGGCTGCTGGCGTCTCTGCTCACCACTGATAGCGAGGGCTCTGTGTGCCCTCTGCTGCACATGTGCTATAGTTTTGCCACCACTGTCCTACATAGCATGGAAGACTTCAGGTGGGAGACATAACAAACCTATGTATTCTAACCTTTCACCTTTCTCAAATGAGGACACTCAGATATGTCAGTCTGTTCTAGTATGAAAACCAGACTTTCAAGAGTCAGAATATTTAATTTTACCCCCACTCTTAGGCGAATTCCCTTTGTAATGTTGATATACCACACTTAATTGCTTGAATATGTGATTTAAAATGGTATCCACATATTCTATAGGAGTAGTTTTGGATCCTTTAACACAAGAACACCTCCAGTCATTTACGTTGACTTTTAGTTTCCATTCCTATCTTTCCTAGCCACTTTCAGTGCCACTTATAGAAGCAAGCTGTGTCATTTTAAACATCTCCAAATGTCATACTTATTTAAAATATAAATTGGTTTTCATTGAAGTAGATGTGCTTCTCTTATATATCAATGATTAGCCTTTCACATTTGAATCATTGAGTCTAGGACACTACTTTCCAACATTCTACTCCCTGATTGGTGAATTTATTTACCTTTTATACTGAGAAATTATCCCAAGACCATTGATATAACTTTTTCAAACATAATTCCTGTTTTCCACTTGGCTTTATATGTCATTTATTAAAAGTAGTTATTCACATTTTTGGTATACTTTTTATGACTTTTAAAAGTTAATCTTATCCACACCTCATGTATTTTAGGCATTCCAAAGTATTCTCTACTTTTTAGACATGCTGAAGTAATTGTCTAACCCAGATATTATAGTGTACCTGACTTTAAAAATGTTGTATTCTCTGCAGTCACTCTAAAATTAATGGACCAAGTCTTGTTATGTTTGCTAGTATCCTCTGGTGATAGTTTTTTTTCTTCTGAGGAAGAAATATGATTCCTATTTAACCAAAGTTAGATAAATAGTAAGGTAGATAGCGGGATGGCTTGCTTGTTTGAGCTATCCTTAGCTTTCTCCTCTCCTTTCTTTCTTCTCCTTTGGTTCATGATTCCCTTTCCTTTCTTTTCCTTTTCCTTTTCCTCTCCTCCCACCTCCTCCCCTCTCCTCCCTTCCTCTCCTTGCATTTGCCATGCAGGCCCCTTGCCACTGACCTACATCCCCAGCCTCTTTCTTTCTCTCTCTCTGTCTCCCTCCTTCCTGAACTCAGGACTTTACTCCTGTCAGACAGGCACTGCACTACTGAACTAATCCCCGGCCCCGTGATTTCTTTCTTTAGTTAGATCAGCTTTAAACATTTTAAAATTTTCTCTTATCCAGAATTTTTGGGACTGGAATTTTTTCAGATTTCATGCCTTTTTGATTTTGGAATATTTGTGTAGACTTTATAGTCGTGCATCTCTAGTCCAAAAATCCAGAGTGTTCCAAAATCTGAAACTTTTTGAGTATCATGTAGAGGCTGTAATTTTTTTTTTAATTTATTTTTTTAATTACCGGGGATCAAACTCGGACCCTTGCGCTAGAGGACAGGTGGCAGAACCACTGAGCCAAATCCCTGGCCCCTAACTTAGATTTTGAAGCATCTTAGATTTGATTTTTGGATTAGAGATTCATCATCTGTAGATATTTTCTGTTTTACTAAAATAAAATTGTAGGGTTTTTTTTAATTGCACAGTTTTAAATAAATTATGCTTTTTCTTTCACATTTTAATTTCAGTCACATTATTTTTCTCACCATTTTTAGCAACTCTTCTCATATTAATAGACATTTATTACATTATTGATTAAGTTTAGCCAAGATTGATTTTATGCTGTGTTTGTAGATCTTATTGTTGGTTAAGAAAATCAGCTATGCCTTATTTTGCTCCTAAATTCTTTTAACTTCCTTATGGTGGGAAGATTTAAGAGGTTAGAATACCAGAGAAGAGGTAGGAGAGACATTACTTGAATGAGAAAGAGACATTTATCTACTCATTTTATATAGCAATTTCCTGTGTACCAAGGGTTCATTTCAGGTGATGTTTCCTGTTTGCTTTTGTGACTAAAAGTCTGGGGAGCCAAGAAATATTTTTAGACTTTGGCGTTCTTTAATGTAGAAGGTAGTACTAACTGCCTCTTTCTGTAAGTAAATAATAATCTTCCTCTTTGAAGACCCATAAAGAGCACCAAATTTATAAATAATTTTAAGAGTTTAAAAACATTCTATAACTTTACCTTCACATAGATATTGTCTTACAATAGGTTTATTTGATTTTTAATACTTTAGTTGGTAAGTTAGTTTGCTTATATAAACAATAAAATCCTGGGGGAAAGCTACATTTAATAAATTTAATTGATTATTCCCTAACATTTGTTTTAAACATTTATTTTTTGTTGTTGCTTTTTAAAAATTAAATGGTATTGTATATGGACTTATAGATATTATATGGTTTATTAGTTATATATTGATTTAAGAATCTAAACACCTAACATTTCTCAGCCAGATCTACCCAGGAGAAGTGGTCTTGGTAGTTTCATTTAAAATCAACCTATTTGTCCTTCACACTAAAGATTAATTTTATTTGTAAATTTGTTTTATACAATGAGTCAAGTAAGGAGTTCTGATATTTTTTAATGGGCTTCATCATGCAGTGTTTTCCTCATCAGATTGTGTTGGACAACTTGATATAATCCTATGAGAATTAAGAATCAAGTTATTTAATAATTTCTCTTCTGTGAATGAACTTTTTTCTTTTACTAACTGTCAGGTACATAAATATTTTATCATTGAAATGCCTGTTTGACTTGGAAATTTGAGATGTAAGAGATTAGATATTTGGGAGTAAACCATCATTTTTCTTTACTGCTCTCTGATGTTTTGCCTTATGTGACTTGTATTCTTGATGTTTGAACCTTAGATAAAGCAGCTGCTTCAGAAGGTTTTTACTGTATACTGAGTTGAATTTTCTCTTCACAGAATCTTTTAATGGATCTCCTACAGGAAGCATAAATTTGGTAAGTACTAATTTAGATATTTTAAATATTAAAGTGACTTGAAAATCATGCAAAAGTCTGAGTCTTGACAAATGTAGATAAATGATATATTAGAAACCCCCAAATTGTTCTTTGTGTCATAGGACGTTAATTATGCTTTTAAGAAAATGTGAAGTTCATATAATAAGGGATATGTAAATTAAAGCTTACATAATATACAGTATTTTATTTTTTAAAATGGGATTAGGCCACACCTACATAATTGCAGATGCACTTTATGAAGGAGTTTAATTATTTTTCTGTTGTAATATTTAGTACTGGATGTTTAAAGTACTTTAATTCCTTTTTGAGATGACCTCAATTCCCACACAGGCCTTGAACTCCTGTGTTCAGGAATTTCTCCTGCCTCGGTTTCCTGAGTAGCTAGAGAGACATAACAGTGTTCTATGAATTTTTCAAACCAGAGTTTGGTTGGAAGGAGGAGGTAGGGTAAAAAGGAGAGATAGAGAATTTTTGGTTTTGATCTAATGTTTCACTAACTACTAAAACAAATCAACCAGAGTGGTATGTCAGATATTTTGAAATTTAGTACTGTTATAAGTCATTTTATATCAGTACCATTTACATGTTAGTACTTAAAAATATTACAGCAAAAATGAATTTCTCCTAATACATGAAGCTTTAGTAATAATATTCACTATAGAAGTTTCCAAATGTAAGGAAACTTTTCCTTGGCTTAAAATTTTCCATTGCAGTGTTTCTGTGAGTGTGTAAACACTAGTAAATGTTTTTTCCTGTAATCCATATTTGCAATAAATGCTTCTTCAAATAAGAGAAATATATCTCTTTTGTCACTTACATAAAACAGCATTCTCTGGATTTAAAAAGTCACATTAGAGATCATTGACTTTAATTTGTTTTTCCCATAAATTTGTTAAATTTAGACATTTACGCAGCTAGAGTCTTTCACATTCTTTTCAGAGTGCATGTATAAATTTTGCTACCAGCATTTTAGAAATATTTTAAACTGTTATGACACCTTATTCCACTGTACTAAGCAAAGGGTGTGTTTGGTGTTTTATTCACTGTGCAGTTGAGATGGGCAGGTAAATTATATCTAGCATATATAGCAATACTGTTAAAATTGGGTTTGTTGGGCCATCACAAAAAAATTTATAGTTTCAGCTGGGCATAGCGGTATACAGCCGTAGTCCTAGCTACTTGGGAAACTGAGACACAGGAAATGCTTGAGTAGAGCTTAGGGCCAGCTTGGAAAATACGACTAAACCTCCTCTCAAAAAGAAAAATTTGTAATTTTAGTTTTTGCTTTAACATAATGTTAAAAATATTTTTTTCTTATAATAAGTTTAAGAATCTTAAGGATTATTTTATACATTGTCTTTTTTCAGGACAACACTAATGTGCTTATTTTAAAGCACAACTTTTAAAAAATCAGTTAATACTTATATTTCTAAAGCAGATGTATTTCTGTAGCAAATTTACTAATTGTAATTTTATACTCTTTTGTTACCTGTTCAATGTAATTGTAACTAATGTTTTGTAATCAGATTTTTTATAATATGTTGCAAAAATAGTTCTTAATATTTATTTTAAATATGTTGAAAAAGATATCTCCAAAATCAGGACAAAATATAGATGAACAACTAGGAGTTGTATTGTATGAGATACTAAAATGTTTAAAGTTACAAATATGTATATTTAGCTTTTAAAACATTACCTACAGGGGAAGGTTATCATTAATAATGCTTTTTAAAAAAAAAACAAAAAAACAACTTGATTTATGTTTCCTGTGCTAGCTTATAATTGAAAGAAGCTTTGGTAGATAACTTACCACAGGCCAAATAGTAGCAAAGTAGTCCATTTCCTTGAGGCTTCTATGTTGCATGTAAAAGTAATATTAAGGTAAACATTGTGCTGTTTCTATTAAAATGTTTTATTACGGGCCACATGAGTACATAGAATAAGTGCATTTTATTTCTTTTTAAAATATTTTCACTTAGAGTTTATCCTAACAAAGATATAGAGTAGATGGTAACAAAATTTACCACTGCAAAGGCTGAAATATAAGAAATAGTAGTTGATATGACTAAAATCTCTTAAGGTATCAGTGGCAGAACCTGGAATAGACCTAATTTAATTCAATGGTTCTGCCACTTCACTGGGGAAGTCCTGTATCATCTATATAGAATTATCACAGTTTGCTTCTCTTGATGATCAGTCTTTACTAGAAACACTTTTGGTTTTCTTTATGGTATTCAGTTGCTTTAGTTTAAATGACTTTACGTCCTATGAATGGCTGATATAAGTAGTTAGATGACTCTCCTGGTAATAATTGGTGGGCTGGGAATTTGGCTCAGTGATTCCACTACCTGCCTCAGAAGCACAGGGTCTTGAGTTAGATCCCCAGTAACACACAGAAAAGAAAAGAAGGAAGGAGGGAGGGAGGGAGGGAGGGAAGGAAGGAAGGAAGGAAGGAAGGAAGGAAGGAAGGAAGGAAGGAAATAAATAATATTTGGTAATAGGCCCGAGGATTTAGCTCAGTTTGCTCAGTGGTGCTGCCGCCTGCCTCACAAGCACAAGGTCCTGCGTTTGATTCCTGGTACCAAAACAAAACAAAAACAAAAATAATAATTGGTAATAATTGGTCAAAAAGACTCATTTAGATCATGTGGATTTTAAAATACGAAATATGTCTAACGTGTGCATAATACCTGTGGTTTGGGGGTTACCAAGACAACTCCCAGGCTCAGGAACTTGCTGAGAAGATGCATAGGACTCTGCACAGTCCTTCTCCTGCCTAGAGTTTATTTCACTGAAAGGATACAAAGCAGAATCAGCAAAAGGAAAAAGGGCATGGGGAAAGTCCAGAGGAAACTAGGTACAAATTTTCAAAATTTTTCTCAAGGGCAGTCAAACAAAGTATTCTTAATTTCCTAAGCAATGAGCTGGGAACATAGATGTTGCCACCAAGGAAACTCATCAGAAACAGTACACAGGTTTGTAGTAGAGGAATCTGACATAGTGCATGCTCTGTCTACTATACGTGGAATCCCAGACCCAGAAAGAAGGCAAGTTTTTGGCATAAACCACATTGTTTGTAAAAACAATTTGAGATACAGTAAGCCTCATATTAGTTAGATAATGGTAGGAACCTTCACTTAAATCTTAACTTGCTAGGTGCCATCTAACCTTGTGAGCAGTTTTTTAAAGAAGAGTTTCAGGTGACCTTGCTAGTTCTCTTTTTGTCCAGTGTGCCTTCATTATATGATTATGTTCCCTTCATATGTGTGGGCATATTTACATGTGGTTAAATGCCTTTAAACTTAGTCAAGATTGATTTTGTATCATTTAATAATAATTTTATAGAATTTTTTTGGAAATTATAATTAAATCAACATTTTAAATTGCCATTTGAAAAATAATTTCCCATATAAAAGTTTTAGTCTACATTCACTTTAATGAGTAATCATAATTATAGTTAACATTTGCTGTGGTTGGTAGTCTTCTAAGTATTCTACATATCTTCTCATTTAATCTTCATATTACACTGTGATGTAAGGAACATTCTCATTTTAGAGCTAAAGAATCTGATTAAATTATTTAACTGATAAAATTTCTTATAAATTAACAAATAGTGCAAGCTTGTCGATAGTGTATTTCAACATAAAATGTTAATACATTTGCTTATTGTCCCATTTTTACTTTCTTGTGATACATTAAATATAATTGAAAAATAGCAATTTGCAAAATATGAACAAGCAATGAAAAAGAAATCATCTAATTATTGATTACCAAAGTGTTTTATAGTTTCTTAATCTTGGCTTTTCAAATTTTCAGTGTAAGTGGAGAACTTATTGTTTAAGTGTGTGAATACAAATAACATTAAGTATGCATGCAGAATATATGAGCAATACATATTTGATGTAGAATTATTTTAAGTTTTTCCTGTAAAGTTTAAAAATTCTTTTTTTTTTTCTTCCAGTCTTTAGATGACCTTTCAAGTGTAACTTCTGACGACTCAGTGCAACTTCATGCATACATTTCAGATACTGGTAACAGACTTCATACTGTAACTACTATTTTTAAAATGTTGGTTGTTTCATTCTTAAGCTATTTTCTAAATTTAATTTTAAAGCTTTTTTTTTTTTTCTGTTTCTGGTCTTTTTTTTTTTTTTTTTTTTTTCCTGCAGCATGTTCTTCATTAAATCCTGTGATGTTTATTTGCATATGTTTGTGGGTGTTTTCTTTTCTCTGAAATTGTCATTATTAGCATTTGAAAAAGCTGTAACATTCTGGAACCAGTCTTCCTCTTTGTACTTGAGTCTAGCTGTTAATTGTTTGCTTGAATCTGATTTGGGGAGATCTTTATTGGGGAGCTCTCAGTTCAATTTTTGCTTTCATACATGCAGAGCCAGACTGAATAATGTAAGTAAAGCCTTGCTGTTCATAAGTTTGTAGAAGTTCAAAATATGCTTGAATGAGCTCCAAAATCTGTAGGGCATCATGATTAGCCAGCATATACGGAATTGTTAGTGTACCCAGGAAAAAAATCAGTTTCTTTCATTGCTGTTGCATTATTAGATGATGCTGATGAGTATTAGATAATGATAGTTTTCTTACCTCACTATTCCTAGAATATGTTTTTCATGTCTCATTCTGAAGTTCAAACATACTGAGACACATACCTCAATTCAATGTCATTCTTCCATTTTAGATACTGAAACAGATCCCATAGTATGAGTTTAAAAATACTAATTTGCATTTTATGAAGATCATTGTTTTATTTTGCTTCTCACTGGAGCTAGAATCCCACTTTTCATTTTCTTCCCTGCCAGAGTTAGGGAATAAGTTTTTCATGTTTGCTGATTCATTTGTTCCTTTATCTTTTGCTTATAGTTGGTACATAAATTGCTATTACATATTGCAAGGTAAAACCATTGTCATTTAAAGCAGAGTCTTCTTGTACCTTTTGATACAGTTCGTTGTCCCACTTTTTCTTTCCAACATTTTAAAAATTATTTTTAACATCTCTCATCTTCTTTGTTGGCTCATCTTCAAATTATGAGAGTTTGTTAAAGTGTAAATTCTTAGTGTTTATCTTTTTATTTTTTGGTGATTTTAAACTTATATAAAAAAAGACAGTGTCTACTTCTGTTGTTAATATTTATCTTTTCTGAGAGTTATAATTTTCCAGTTGCTTTGACTGTTCATTCAGTAAGTCTTTACTAACTTTTTAAAGAGGATGGAGAGTATTATGCTAGGAATTTTTAATAAATTACATTGTCAGATGAATATTTATACTGCAGAGGCAATATAGTATTGTGGTTCAGAGCACAACTTTTTCATTGAGTTGCTGGAGTTCGAACCTTGACTCTTCTGCTTAATAGTTGAGTGAAGTTTATTCTCTGTATTTGCAATTTCTTCATCTGTTAAATGGAATAATAATAACACCTACGTCATAGGGTGGTTATGGTACAAATTGCATTAGTTATTAAATGTGAAAGGCATTATATTAATGATCAGTCATAAATACTTATTTTTCTAGTTGGACACCAGAATCTGGATCCCAGTGTCCTTAATACATCTACCGTAAATGTAAACATTTACAGTCCAATGCAGTGCTACTTAGAGTGCTCCATGAACTCTAGAGTCTACTTGCTTCCTTTATTGAGAAAGTGGGAAGGGTGGGGGAAAGGTAATAAGGGAGAGGAAAAAATATGAGAAATTGAAAAAATGGAAATAAAGTGTTTGTAAATGGGGAGGGGAGGAGGGGGTGAAGGGAGGGCAGGGACAAGGGGAAAAAATGAAAATCAAGACCTATCATGTAAAGGTACAGGATCCCAATAATAATTGTAACTGAATTGTATACCTAGATTGTACCAATAAACTCAATAAAAAGAAAAGAAATTGGTTAAATTAAACAATGTGATTAAGGAAATTATTAGCATTATGATGATAGTTCCTTAACTTACTAGGGATTAATAAGTGATCTCTTGTCTACCTGCCATAAATAATGTTGCCTATGGAAACAAAACCTTGGTTTATCACTATCTTCTTAAAATCAATATAAGTAGCCTCATTCTCTTCTTTTGAAATCACAGTACTTTTCTGTCTTCTGCTTTTTAAAAAAATAGCAGCATTACTTTTCCTGTTGTATATGTATATCTGAGTCATCTCCCCTGCCTAGCAGTTTGTGACAAATCCACATTTTCTCTTTTAGAATGCCTCCTTACATTACTCTTTTTCTCCTTTTGTAACCCTTGCTGTTTTCCTTGCTCTTGTTATCTTGAAGTGATTATGGTTAGCGACCTAACTGGCCTCAGCTTTCTGTTTGCTTTTTACAGATCTGTCTTGGACACAATTATAAAGCCATTCCTTTGTTGCCATGCCAGCTCTGTTTAGAAATGGTGACTCTCTGACTTACTGAGAAAAAAAAAGTGCTATGTTGTTTGATTTGCACAGATCTCTGAGAGAAAGTTGACTTTAGGAGGTGAACAGTGAATACAATTAAAGCCTCTTTTGTAGAAGAAGATGACCACAGTCTCTGTAGGGGTTTTTTTTGGGGGGGGGGCAGAAACACTGATATTAGATGAAAGGGAGTGAAGGACAATTTTTAATAGAAATTGCAAATCATAGAAATATGTTGATGAAAGCTTATCCATCACCTCTTGTTAATTTAAACATCTAGTTTATCTGTTATTAAAATAATTTAAGATACATAGAACCTTCTTTGCCTCATTATTTACAAATTAGCAAAATATTATTGTATTTAGTCAGCTCCAAAACTTAACAACTATTTTTTTCTTGATTATGAATCAATGTGATCCATTATTAGAGCGATATAGTAGTCTAAACTGCTATAGGAAATCCTGTTTTCCACATGCAGAAAGGCTGGGAACAATGTTATAGCCAAAGTAAGGAAATCTACAGTACAATACATCATGAGGAAAAACATTCTGAAAAGTGTAGGGGCATTGAAGACAAGGGGCTTGTAGAGCCATAAAGGAACATAAAGATCGCTGTCTTGATTTTGATAACATTTTTATGTTCTCAAGTTTAGAACAGGTGGGATAAGCCAGTGCCCTGTGAAGCTGGAACCAAGTTCTTTGCATAAAGCTGAGTTGTAAAGAGCAGCATGGTGTGAAAAAAACAAACAAACAAACAAACAAAAAAACTAGAAAAGGCCAGCTTATCTTTAAGTTTTAAGGGGAGAGAGCAGGAAATATTAAGATTATGATTGGAAGTGGTATCTGTCACCCACAAGAAATTAAAGCCCAGTTTTTATCCGTCTATGGTTATGTCTGGGTTTAGAAGTCTTCAAGTGATGTATGTCTAAACTCTGAAACCAAAGAGTTAGTAGTTGTCCCTCAATATCTGTGGAGTATTGATTCCAGAACCTCCATGGATATCAAAATCGTGTCCTTTCTATAAGGAACAGGTGCTCATGTCCTTTATATAAAGTGGTGTAGTATTTGCAGATAGCCTTTGCATATCTTCCCAAATACTTTAAACTGTCTCTATTATACCTGGTACAATGTAAATGCTACAGAAATATTTGTACTATGTTGACTAGGAAAAAATGATAAGGAAAAAAGTCTGTAAATATTCAGTATGAATACACTTTTTAAAACCCTTTCTGTTTATGATAAGTTGAATCTCACAGTGTAGAACCCCGAGACTCACATGGCCTACTGTAAGTTTCTGAACCACAGAAACCATACAGTGCAATACTGGGCATTGTAAATGTTTCCATAGCCCAGGGCATTCAAACTGCCCATCGACAAACACTACCTGTTGAAAATGAATTTATAGAAGACAATTTAAAGACACAGGAAGAAATATGAGCCACAATAAGGAAAGTCAGCAGGTGCAGCAAATAAGGTATGTGGTGTCCAAAGAACTTCGAGATGGCAGTCTTCACAGAACATAAAATGAGTATGATTAAAATATTCACAGAGACATCTTAAGGAAGGAATACATAATATGGTAAAAGAACCAAAAAAAAAAAAATCCAGAAATCAAAAAATGCAGTGGTTGAAATTAAAATCATTGGATGAGTTAAGAAATAGACCAGAAAGAGCTGAGAGGAAAATAGTAAAATCTTTTAGACGTAGGGTAAAATAGAATACAAATAGTGGAGCGTCAGAACATAATTCAAAGTATGTCCAAGATTAGTAGAAAATAGGAATAAATTACAATTTTTTAAGACTGCATGGCTCATGTGGTATTTGGTAAATCAGTAAGCAATTGTTGTTTTGTTGTTGTTGTTAAATGCCCAGAATAAATTATTTATGAATTGCCGAATGTTATCAAAGAAAGAAAGAATTGCCTGGAGGTAGATCTTATCCTGTGGCTTTTGCTATTTAGTTGAAATAAAGAAGGCTAGTGCAAAAAGTTATTTTGTTTCTATTGTTTCTCTTCTATAAAATGTAAGAGACACCAGTGTCATACTCTGAGATGGTGCCATGGTAATATCATTAATAATGGGTAAAAGTTTTAGGGAAGAAAATCCAAAATAAATATTATTTGTGGTTGGTAGTGTCATAAACTTTTCACTTATTTTACACTATAGTCCTCACCTGCATACATATGCATATACATGTGTGTGTGTGTGTGTGTGTGTGTGTGTGTGTGTGTGTGTGTGTAGTACAAAGGATAGGAAGGAATCTGTTTTATCCTTTGGTGATATTCCTTTACCTCAGTCTTTCATTTTTAGTTCTTCATTTTGTATTATTTTTTTTCTTTTGTTCTTCAACTTCCTCCTTTTGTGTCTTTTGTTTCTCTTCATTATATTTTAAATGACAAGTATATGCTGACTGTGATCCATATGCTGTGGCAGGCGTTTGTAATGATCATGGCAAGACTTATGCATTATATGCCATCACTGTACACCGGCGCAATTTGAACACTGAAGAGATGTGGAAAACCTATCGTCGTTATAGTGACTTCCATGACTTCCACATGAGAATTACTGAACAGGTAATGAAGTTTTTAAGGCTGTTTACTTTATATTGTTTCTTGACTAAATTTTGATTGTAAAATTTTCTATGGATCTTCAGATGTTGACCAAAGCTAATGAAAGAAAATAAGGTAAGGATTTTTTTATATAATTTATGTAAATGTTGGAATGACTTTGAGCAGTTAACTAATCTGAGAACCTTAACCAGTCTTACCCATTGTGGACTGGTGCCAAATACCAGTGTTATATCTTGGAAAATTAAAATAAGCATACATTTCTGATTTTAAAATTTATGTGTGTGTGTTGTGCTTTGTAGAAGCATTTGGTTTGGAGTAGGGATGGTGGTTGCTAGAGGACATTTCCTGCTTTTGTTGTTGGAGACTTAATTCAGATCTATAGTTATTTAAATGATAACTTCATTCAATATTGTAATTGTTAAATCCTAGATCCTTTGCTAAAATTACTGTGAATTACAACCTAAAATAAATTTTGATATTAACCAAATAATGTTTTAATTCTTACTAAATATAAGTCTGTTATTCTATAGGAGTAACTATAAGGACTCTTAAGGAAAACAAAGATGAACTATTTTTCTTTCCTATTTTTGATTACATATTGAATCATCTAAGTTAAAAAAAAAGTAAAACATTAGCAGATGAATTTAAATAGATGATCTATGGAATTTATTTTAACTCTTTAAAGTCCCATTCACTCATATAGAGGTAATATTAAGCCAATAAAAATAATAAAGATAAAACCTGATTGAATTAGCTAAAGCTTTGACATGATTTTGTACTACTCTAGAAATCAAAAAGTATCTTTTTTAGTTAAGATGATGGAAAAGGTATGGTTGATAACATGGTAATCTTAATAAAATATTTGTGGTTGACGTGAAATAAGCTATTAATGGTTTCAGTTTGATTTTTAAAAGGTTAGTATTGACTTCTGAATCCTATAGTAATGGGACTATTTTGAATTATAATCCTAACAAAATGAATAACTTTTGATATGTCTGTTCTTTTGATGAATAGATATTTATTTTTAGATTAATTTATTTAGACTCACACTGAAATAATTGCTTTAGTCTTTCAAATACTACCTGTTTGATAATTGTTTTAAAAGCATATAGTTCATATATCTTTTTTCCTACCCCTATGCTTTTACCAAATATGAGAATTATTCAAAATAATTTCAGTTGCTAAGAATAGTTTTATTTAGTGCAAATTAATGGTAATTTGTTGATTGTGAAATTTTCATTGTGCAAATAGTTATAATTTTCTTTCTACAAAGAGGAATGCCATTGCCTAATTAAAAATATTCTAGGTAAGATGTAAATATTATGTTCACATATTGATGAATGCAAGTAAAGAATATATTATTTAAAAAAAAACTGTTGATAAGACAGTCCATACAGAAATTTCCTTTTAATATATCACCAAAAATGAAATGAAATTGATATAGTACAGTTTCACAGATGGCTCAGTATAAGTGAATGGGGCATTTTGACTTATTGTTTCCATTTTTTTAATGTTTCTTTTTTTAAAGTCATAGTAGTTATGATTAGTTAAGTGTTGATTGTTCACAGAACTTGAGAATTTAAAACTAAGATTTTAGGTTTTCCCATAATACTAAATATCTGTAAATAGGCTGTTTAACTTTTAGTTCTTCCTTACCTGTATTTTAAAAATTTAAATCCTCTATAAAATAACGGAAGAAAAATTTGGTTACTAGTAATTCACCTGTTGGTAACAGTACAATCTGTTGACAGGAATAACTGTTGACTTTATGGGTAAAAACATTTTTAAAACAAGTTTCATTTTGCTTATTTAGCTTTGTGAGATATGTTTCTCTTAGTCTAACTATATGTACTATCATTTATTTTATTCAATAATATCTTTACGATCTAATTAGATATTTTGCAGACTTACAACATTAAAAGAAAAATGTTGGCAATTGTCATACACTTTTAGAAACAGCCTGAATTACCCATTCATTTATTCAATAAATACTTAAATCGAGATTTTCATGTCTGCCTGACATTCTTCTCGGTGATAAAAAAAATAACAGTGAATAAGGCAGTCTAAGTCTTTGCCTTTAGGAATATATGTATTCTAATAGATAGTATGCATTTCCATTTTATGGAAGTGGATTAAGTGCAGATAAAATTAATATACATGTAGATAAAATTGCTCTAAATTAATATGAATGGTATAAATGATAATATTAAGTATCCATATATACTGAGTTACATACTTAAAATATTAACACATTTTGAATTTTTCTTAATATAGACTTTTAAGTGTGCTTTTAAAATTTTTCTAATGGTATTAGGGATCTAACCCTGGTACTGTAATGGCAGACTTACAGGCCACAGTGTGGCACTTCTTAGTGGTGTAGCAGATCAGGCCAAGAAGAATTGAGAACACACCCGGAGACTAGAGGCAAGTGTACAGCTTTATTACCAGTGGACTGATGGGGGATTTCTCCACAGAGTGATCAGCTCGGAGCTGGCAATGAACAGGGTTTATATAGGTTAAGGGAAGAGGAGTGGGGATATAGAAGCAAGACAGTTAGCATCAGTTCATTGGTTGTGGAAGTTACATTTAGTTTACATGATTTGATAGTGAAGCACACTGGATACAGACGCCTCCTGAGAACAAAAGACAATTAAGGAGGACATGTGTTAGGTGTGAGAGGGGATATGAGCTGGGGGTGGCTCTTTGTCAGTTAGGTCAGCTAGCCACACAAAAAACTTTTTTTTTTTTTTTTTTTTTTTTTTT